TTTTTTGCAAAAACGTGCTACATTGGGGACAATTTGGTGTATGTGCAGTACGTATACCAGTAGGCTCGAGGGGTCTAGAAACGCAAAGGAGCTTAAGCCAGCAAAACACAAGCAAAGGGAAACGAAACCTTTTCCCGTCCCGCCGGCTAACGGGCTACTTGCTCGGCTACAGTACAGGACGAGTCCGACCTACTCAGTACTCGCAATTATTAAGGTTCTTGTTCTTGTGACTGGCATTCGGGAAGATCAGTCCCTGTTTGCTTGAAATTTTGCTGGCTAGACTTGTTTGTAGAACCATTGCGTCAGGGTAGATTGGACCCTCTCAAAGAAGGAGGGGGGAGGAGGGGGATGAGGGGAAAAAGATCATGGGGGAGGCGGTTGGAATGGGAGTGGCGTTGACTCTATCATGGAGTTTGCGATCGATCATTCGTGCATGCATCAAGAGTTTTTTGCATAGCCAAAATGCAAATCTGCCTTTTCTTCTTCAATGCCGGATGACGGGAGAGGAGGTTTCCGAACTTGACACTGTTTTGTAGCAGCTTGCATTACCAAGCTTCAGGTAAATTGGTGCGGAGTAACTGAGACTGTAATCTTCTAGATTTGCATTGTTGGTTTGTGCTGGAGAGTCCTGGGCAGGGCCCCGGTGCCAGATACTGTCCTACTCTTACTTGGACCCCCTTTTGAGACGGTTGGGGTATTAAGTATTGCTGGCAGAAGATGAATAGAATAGGCTGCCACAATCCCGAGTCCTTGGCTGCGTCGAGGGTCAATCAGGGGCCCCTTCGGAGGATGGGGGTTCTTTTTTAGTTACAATGGTATGTATCGAGAGCCCTTCCTTCAGGTACGGATTGCGAGTCCGAACGGCGGAGGTGTTACAGGAGGGTGGTTATTGGGTCGCTCAACTGTCATCGCTGGGTTGTTGGAAGAGAGATCCGTGAGTATGGGCATGAGTACCTGTAGGTATATCCTGGGTGCAATAGGGCAACGAATGAGTGGAGCCGGGCATTAGGAACGTCCATCCCGACGATTAATGATGATGCATGTTGCATACAGCACGATCGTGTCATGAATTCTATAGATTGCACCTGCACAATCACTAGAGTGTTGATTGAAAGTCGTAGAGAGAACGAGCGACGGAGAGAATGCAAAAGTGACGTTGATGTCTTGCAGACTCCCATCGTCTTTCTCGGGCTGGCAACAAACAATTCCTGCCTGATTGACATACAGAACGAGCTCTGAGGTTGCACTTAGTACAGTACAGTACATCCAGTACATACAGTCCAGCATCTGGTCTTATGCATCTACTCTACTTCTATCCCCCGAGCTGCAGGTCTGTACATACATACAGTATGTCAAACATCCATCAAGCTTCAATTCCATCGCGTAACTTATCGGAAGTTGGTACCTGCCGCGTAATACTGGGTAATGACGGCGTTCCAGCCCGGGTGGAGCTCGCCCACTTTTCTCCTTCCCCTGCTTTTCAATTCTCTTCTGGACAACTAGAATCATTAATTCTGTAATTATAGCAACAATCCAGTTCGAATCCAGACATTGCAGTGTTACAGAAAGGGGGGGAAATACTTTTCTGTCTGTCTGTCTGTCTGTCTGTCTCTTCAATTCAACATAATCTCTCCAAACACTAACTTACCTCCTCCGGACTGCGTGTAATCCCACCATCACTGCCTTGATCAGGAACCATACCATACAGGTTCAGCTCTCCACGTTTTTGTGGCAGTTCCACTTGAATTACGAGTCCGTTTCGCCCCAAGAATACTCACTCACTCACTCACTCAGTCACCATTTCTCCTCTTCTTCTTCTTCTTCTCCCTTCCTCTCTCTCTCTTTCCCTCCCTCTTCTCTCGGTCTTCATTCTCTCTTACTCTAATCACCCATCCCATTCGGCAATCCCGTATACGTCTCTCCCTTCTTCCTTCCCCCCACCCTCCATTTCCCCTGCATTTCAGTTATCTCTCCTTTAGCTCTGGATTCTGTTCGTTGTCGTCACTCTGCCTGCATTTGCAACTGATACCCCCATCCCGCCCTCGTCTCGCCCGCCCTTCTACCCGTTTCCCTCGCCGCGGATTCCACCATTTGTCTCAGCGCTCTCTCAAATTACGTTCTCTGCCGACCTCAACCTACTTCCGTCTTGTCGCCTCAGGACACCCAAAATTCAAAGAACGTGTTTGTTCTTGACTTCGATCCGGGCCCTTCAAACTCAGTGGTTCACCTGAACATGCCTATCAGCCGCTGAAGTACTTTCCGCCGGCTGGCCCCCAGCTCGATCTCAGGAACCGGGATTCTTTTTTGCATATCAACAACCGCCATTGATCGATTTGTCCTCAATCAACTAGCCCCTCTCCGCCTTTGGTTGGCTCCTTCCCTCTTGTTGCTCGAACAAAAAGGACATTCCGGCTCTTAGTCAACAGTCAACGCATATCACCCATAACCGTCGACTCCTCTCCCCCCCCCCCCCTTGTCCTTATCTCCGCCTCCTCCCCGGGAGTTCGACCAACTGATCATGCCATCGTTTTCCAACGACGTCGCCGCCTACCCAACCGCCACCGTTACGGCTACACACCCTCGGCCATTCGACCCATCGCAAGGCAAGCCCAACGAGAAGAACTCGGTGGGGAATACATTTCTTTGGACAAATTGGCCCAATGGCGACGCCAATCATCTGGAAACTCCTTCGAACGATCGCCAACTCACAAACGGTAGCGCCTTCGCTCTGAATGGTCCGCGATCCAGCGCCAGCTCATATACCCGGGAATTGCCCCATTCGAAGGACGGTAGCATGCACTCATTAGGAAACGGGTCAGTTCGAGATCCCAAGGAGGATGGTCGGCCCTCAGCGACCTTGGAACGAAATTTATCCGACAAATCCTTGGACACTGTCACAGGGCCAGGCTCTCCGGCGGCATCGATCGCAAGCCAACACATCAACGGCACGCTCAATCCCCGATCGCTCAATGGAAAACCCTTGGTAAACGGAGATTTCAACCGACAATCAACCGACGAGTTTCACACCCCGGAATACGCAGGCAATGCATCGGCGACCCGTTTATCCACCTCTCCACCTGACGACGCTGGCCGTCTTTCTCCCGATCCCGATCGATTATCCCCGTCGCAGAAAAGCCCTCATCGCTATTCTTCCCCTCCAGCCCCGGAAAATGGCATTTCGCCGGACCAAAGCAACACCAGTCTTCGCCATCGACACACATTACAAGTCCCGCGCACGACGAGCGGGCGCCGTGGTAGTCGTGATCAGTCGGAAGACATGGCTTACAGTAGCGGTCGCCTGTCTCCCACCACCGGTACCCGCCGGACATCCTTCAGCCTGGCCCGACGGGCTACTCGAACCAACCAGTCGGAAAGCTTACAAGACGAAGCAGCTCCCGACGAAGATGCAGCCCGCTGGGCAGAAGCCATCAAACAGAGACGAGCCTCGAAGCGAAGACGTCGGGACGAGGACGATGATGATCGCGTCATCGTAGGAACCAAGGTGGACCAGAACCACGTGAATTACGTGACGGCCTACAACATGTTAACCGGAATTCGTTTCACTGTCTCGAGGATCAATGCCAAAATGGATAGGGAGTTGACTCCCGCGGACTTCGAGGCGAAGCACAAATTCTCGTTTGACATGTATGTTCTCAAGTGCCTTTTTCTTCACTGTACATCGACTGACGTTCAATAGAACCGGCAATGAATTGACGCCTTCTGCGAAGTACGATTTCAAATTCAAGGATTATGCGCCCTGGGTTTTCCGGCACCTGCGAGCAAAGTTTCGACTCGATCCAGCCGACTATCTGATGTCACTCACAAGCAAGTACATCCTGTCGGAGCTGGGGTCTCCGGGCAAGAGTGGAAGCTTCTTTTACTTCTCCAGAGACTATAAGTACATTATCAAGACCATCCACCACTCCGAGCACAAACTGTTACGCAAGATCCTCCCCGAGTACTACCGGCACGTCGAACAAAACCCAAACACCTTGATTTCGCAGTTCTATGGTCTT